TTTCTGAGATTGTGGATTTGGGGTTTTCATGAGCTGTAAGCCATAATCATCACAGTTATGACACATCACGGCTTGAACTATCTTGCTTTGCATGTAATGAGTCTATCTCATATATTAGGTTCACCTTTTAAGTTGCATTACTGAAATAAATGAACTTTTGCACGATATTCTAATTTTTCGAGTTTCACCTGTATATCTCCGATGTAAAAAGAGTTTTGAAAATGATACATTAGTGAAAGCAAAGTAACTTACCTGTCTCTATCATTAACCTTTCACTGGGAATTGACTTCACCGTGTCTAGGTTGGCTTCAGTTTTCAGAGAACTGGAGATAATGTTAGATGTTCGTTAGATGAAAATGTATATCACTTATTATTGTTGGGGAGCTCATAAAAAAGAAACTGCTCCCAAAATTCAGTGAATAATTTTTGCTTTTGGAACCAGTATTGAGCATATTCCAATATTGTGTTTCTAATCCCGTTTACATTAGACTGATTTTCCCCCCCCAATTAAAAACTGGGAGAGCAACGCAATGCCTGAAATTTAAGCCTGTCCACTCAAAAGTTGAATTCTGCTGCATCTCTGGTTACACAGAAGTTCTAAGGCCTCTAAAGCTAAATGTCACATAGTTTTATATCCTGTTCACCCTTTTTCATTTTCTGTGTTTTGTAAGGGTGTGTGTGTGCGATAGAAGCAGGTAACTTTGTGTTCAAAATTATTTCCAATCTTTTAGTGAACCGGAGGACCTCCCAAGCTCTTGACTGGATACCTTATCTGAGAATTACAGATAAAGGGTTCTTCTAAGCCAGGGGTAGGCAACCTTGGCTCTTTTTATGACTCACGGACTTCAACTCCCAGAATTCCTGAGCCAGCATGGCTAGCTCAGGAATTCTGGGAGTTGAAGTCCACGAGTCATAAAAGAGCCAAGGTTGCCTACCCCTGTTCTAAGCTAAGACTAGTGTGTGCGATTGTGATTTAGAATGTTGCATATTTTTGACTATTATTTATTTTTATTCTTATTTATGAGTGTAACATAATTGCAAGTTCTTTAGAAAGTTAATCAAACATCTTTTGTTCTCGTTTCCTGCCTCCAGCTTCAAAAAGAAGGTCTTTGTATTTTTCATATCCCTGGCAAAACAAACTACATCTGGGTGGGCAACTAGGGCAACTTTACGACCTATAGACTTCAACTCCCAGAATTCCTGAGCCAGTTGGCTCAGGAATTCTGGGAGTTGAAATCCACAGATCATAAAGTTGCCATAGTTGCCCATCTCTGTACTACGTGGTTAATGATCTGCCTTTTTATTTTTTTAAAAGTCACACACAATACCTACCAAACTAAAAATCAATGCTTGAGGGAAGAGTTAATGTTTAAAATAACTTACCAACCATTAACCCCTATATAAAGATCAAGATCTATTAGAGCTGCTGCTTCTTCTTTGGTGCCATCAAAAGAGTGAACCTATAAAAATAATTAGAAGCATATATCATAAGACTGAAGGTAAATGTTTGTTAATATGGGGTAATCCTCAACGTATCACCATGACTGAGTCTGCTCATCACAATCATTGTGAAAGTCATAAAGCGGGTCACCCCTGTAGCCAATCTGATCTTAATGGCCTTTTTTGTGATAGCTTTTGAGTAAATCAATTGTTTGCTATGGGCTGATTTTGTGTGGAAATGGCGATTGTGTGACATGGGGTTGCTGCAAATGGTCATAAATGTGGGCCTGTTGCTGATCACCTGAAATGCAGTCATGTGACCGTGGGGGGGGAAGGGATAGCTATCGGAACTTCAGATCGTAAGTATTCCTGAGGAAGTCTGTCATAACTTTGGATGTCATTAAGGGAGTGGTCATAAGTTGAGGATTACCTATACTCAGTCCTCGTTTTTCTCAGTTCCCTTTAATTATTTTTGTTGCTCTTTCTGGATGTCATTTGGCAGCTGTGCATGCATGAAAAATGTGAGAAAATTTAGCAATTCCGCCTAGGAAGATGACGTGGCTACTCTTTTTCACAGCTGTGTCATTTTTTGTGCTATCCTACCAGGTGCAGGTACCCCAGTCTCTCTTAGTTCAACTTCTAAACATGACTACTAGCAAGGTGTAAGGTTTGCCCAATGCATGGAAGGACACTGCCAAATTTAAAATAAAAAGATTCAGATCACAGAAATCCCAATTCATAACAAACAAAGAAAAACATGACTCTATGCTAGATGCGAACTTCTATTTCTTTCACTAGTTTTTTAGAAGACAAGGTTTGGGTGAAGAATTGCAAACACAAAGAGAAATGTCTAACTTATTTGTAATACAAATATAGCAATAGACTTTAAATCACAAAAAGGGTAATGTTGCACCTACCACTCCCCCAATACACCTCTCTCTATTTCGTCTCATAATATCTGTGCAAAAAAAAAAAAAATAGTTTGATTTTAGAATCTCAGGAACTTTTGTTCCCTCAAAAGTACACATTTATTCTTCTAATTTTCTGACCAAACTCACCTATGAATTCTGGGTGCGAATTCCTACAGTGCAAAAACATTGGCAATTTGGTTTGCTCAGCTAGATCAAACTGTTTTTCAAAATACCTGAAAGAAAATAAAAATGACAAGCGATGAATCCCTAAAAAAAAATTTCAGAAACAAAATAATAAATTGACTTCAAATCATTTTAGAGAACCGGTGGTGGGGAATCATGTCTGTTACCCTCGTCCAGACAGGAGTTCTAATAGTCCTGACCCAAATGCCCAAGAAAACAGCCAAATTACCTCTGAAACGTGAAAGGGTCTTAGCAATGCCACGATTTAATGCAAGTTTCCAAAATACCATAGATGTGCAGAAAAACTCTCACTTTCCAGATCTGTTTTGTGATCTTCCATCAAAGAGGCAAATATTTTAAACATGTACCTATATTTGTAGACCAAGACATTCTACATCTTGCTAACCTGCTACAGGTAGTCCTCAGTTTACAACTTTTCATTTAGCCATCAAAGTTATAACAGAACTGAAAAAAGTGACAATCAGTTCTTGCAAACTTACAAGCTTCACAGGTGATGGAAGCCGGTTGGAAAGATTGCAAATGGGGATTATGTGACTCCAGGATGCTGTGACCATTGCAGGTTGCCAGGCGCCCAAGTTTTGATCATGTGACTGATTTACTTAACAACTGCAGGGCTTTACTTAACAACCGTGGCAAAAAGATCAATGAAAATTCTGGTCAGAATTGTGGTGGTTAAGTCAAAAACTACCTGTAATGTGAGGACAAGCGGGATGGTGAGCATCCCTTTATTGTGACCACTGTGGCGTCTGATCAACTTTTGCCAAATGCTAAGCAAAAAATCCAGCAAGACAAATCGTAGGTTCCTCACATTAAAGTTTAGTACAGGTGTCCCCAATCCTAGTCTGTGGACCGGCACCGTTCCACGGTATGCCAGCAACCAGTCCGTGCAAACAAGCGAAGCCCCATCCGTGGGATGCAGGCAGCACACGAAACCACGTCCCTTCTGGTCCACGGAAAAACTTCACGGAACCAGCCCCTGGTGCCCAAAAGGTGGGGGGGGGCTGGTTTAGTAAAAATGTTCTTTCGCATTACTTTTTTTGTTCCTAAAAACTATTTTTTTCATTTCATTTAATTTTTCTCAGCTGACTAATTCCTGAGCAAAGATACCCTCTTCACTAGTAGTATCTTGCCCTGTAGCAACAGCTTCCAGGAAGGGAGAGAGACAAACACACACACACACACACACACAATGGCAATCTGCACTACAATGTGGACTTTCCCCCTTTGGGGAGAAGTGCAGATTGCCCTTTGGGCTTTCACATCCCACACAGAGATGCAAGTTGAGGCCTGGTTCCCTCATCCTAGCCGTCCAATTTTACATCCATTTCTGTCTTATCCGAATGAGAAACAGAAGATCCAAAATGAAAATTTTGGCAGCTGTTACAAGCACTAACACATGCTGTTGAGACGGATAACGGGATTCAGAAACAGAATCTCTTTTATGACTCTGAGGATAAACAGTGGAAGGGTTGACCTGCTCTTTACTTTTCCTTCCGCTTAAAACAGGCTGAAAATGTTTTACGGCTTCTAATGGACGTCCCTGAGAAAATCCCCATAGAACAGTACAACACAGAGGTTACAAAGACAGGGTGGCGGGTACAATGTATTTGAAACAATAAGTACATTTCTTACTTGAGCTGGGTGTCTTTGGGGCAGAATTCTAATCTGTCAAAGTCTGTAAAGGGGAAAACAGACAGTGAAGAAGTTTTCAAAAGACTGCCAGGAACAAATAACATACTTAAGCCGGGGAGTTAATACCTACCCAAGCCACACTCCCCAACTGCGACAACTTTCCCTTTGTTCTTCTCAGCTAAATCTTGCAACTCCTCTAAGTACCGGTCAGGATTGCCCTGATCGAATTCTCCACAGCGCGTGGGATGGCAGCCGACAGTACTGTAAAACATTTCTGAAATCAGACCACATGAAAGTGTTGATATTATAAGTGATGCAGACTCTACTAAAACATAAAGGGAAAACGATCACCTGCTCTGTCTGTATATGCAGATATTCCTCAACTTATGACCACAATTTGTTGCTAAATGAGACATTTATTAAGTGAGTTTTGCCCCATTTTACAACTTTTCTTGCCACAGTTGTTAAGTGAGTCACTGCAGTTGTTAAGTTAGTAATATGGTTGTAATAATAATAACAACAACAATAATAAAGTTGGAAGGGACCTTGGAGGTCATCTAGTCCAACCCCCTGCTCAGGCACGAAACCCTATACCATTTCAGACAAATGGCTATCCAGTCTCTTCTTAAAAACTTCCAGTGTTGGAGCATTCACCGCTTCTGGAGGAAGGTTGTTCCACTGGTTAATTGTTCTAACTGTCAGGAAGTTTCTCCTTAGTTCTAGGTTGCTTCTCTCCTTGGTCAGTTTCCATCCGTTGCTTCTTGTCCTGCCTTCAGGCGCCTTGGAGAATAGCTTGATTCCCTCTTCTTTGTGGCAGCCCCTGAGATATTGGAACACTGCTATCATGTCCCCCCTCGTCCTTCTCTTCGTTAAACTAAACATACCCAATTCCAGCAGCCGTTCCTTATATGTTTTAGCCTCCAGTCCCCTAATCATCTTTGTTGTTCTTCTCTGTACTCTTTCTAGATTCTCAACATCTTTTTTACATCGTGGTGACCAAAACTGGATGCAGTATTCCAAGTGTGGCCTTACCAAGGCATTGTAAAGTGGTATTAATACTTCACGTGATCTAGATTCTATCCCTCTGTTAATGCAGCCCAGCACTGTGTTGACTTTTGTAATTGTAATGGTTGTAAATGAATCTGGCTTCCGTGTTTAGTTTGCTTGTCAAAAAGTCGCAAAAAGGGATCACGTGATTCCTGAACATTGCAACCGTCATAAATACATGCCAGTTGCCAAGTGTCCGAATTTTAATCATGGGGATGCTGCATTGGTTGCAAGTGTGAAAACCAGTCACAAGTCACTTTTTTTCAGTGTCATTTTAACTTTGAACGGTCACTAAACGAATGGTTGTAGGTCGAGGGCTACCTGTAGTTTCCATCTCCGGACTCTCCTCCTATGTCAAGCACTTGTTTTCATTATGTGACCACTGATCCTCCACATACTGTTTTCCCAGTCATGGTAAGATAAGCAACTTCCATAATTTACAGGTGCACGAAAAGTTTCACTTTTCTTTTAAGCAAATACAGTGTGGGATAATTCAAGCATCCCACTTAAAGGTGATGGTACATGATGCAAGAAATTACCATTTGTTTGGGCCAGCTGCCAGGCGCCTTTACTGTCTTGCAAACTTCCACCCGTGATGATGAGCTGAAATGAAGAAAAACATGTAAATGCTAATTTCCCAACACCCAAGTTTAATATGCTTTGGGGGGCATAAATTGAGTCAATAGCAAGTCAGCAAGGAAAAACTGACAGTTCAGACAATAAAAAGGAACACATTGAAAAACATTTAATGCCACAGTTACCTTTTGAACCCCAATTTTGACTGCTCTGTCTATTACATCCAAGAAATCATCTGCAAATATATACACACACATATATATAAATATATTAAATTTAAAATCCATTTTTAAAAAGCACAGTTATGATCAAACTGTTCACAATTTCTATTTCCTGGGGGGCTTTTTGTGTTCAAAGCTTCGTAACAGTAAACATTGCAATCATCTTATGCACAAAAGTAGTATTCCACACTTTTCAACTCTTTGACAACAACAATATTGCTGTGTACAAATGGAGCACTGATATATTTTCCAACAGAACTTCAGCTTTCTTCAGATTGATGGGATCAGAGCTAGCAATGACTGATGAGGATTTAGAACAATATTTGAAATAACAAGCAACTCCAGCTTCCTCCATTGACTTATTGGGAGCCCCCTGAGAAGACCACAAATTGTGATCATATGACACTGGGGTGTTGCAACTGTTGTAAATGCAGATAGTCCTCGACTTACAACAGTTTGTTTAGTGACCATTTGAAATTATAGTGAGACTAAAAATTAACTTATGACCATTTTTCACACTTATGACCGTTGTAGTATCCCCAGGATCATGTGATTTACATTCAGATGCTTGACAACTGACTCACATTTATGACAGCTGCAGTGTCCCAGAGTCATGTCCTCCCCTTCTGACAAGCAAAATCAATGGGGAAGCCAGATTCACTTAACAACCATGTTACTAAACCGAGTTAAATGGGGCAAAACTCACTTAACAAATTTAACAAGATAAATTTTGGGCTTAATTGTGGTCGTAAGATGAGAACTACCTGTACACATGCTGGTTGCCAAACACCAGATTTTGATAATGTGACTGTGGGGATACTGCATTGGTTCTAAATGTGATGGCTGATCATAAGGCACTTTTTTCAGGGCATCATAACTTCAAACAGTTGTTAAACAAATGGCCGTAAATTAAGAATTGCCGGTATTTATCTTCCCATGCTCAAA